AATGGTTCATGTAGTTTCATAGCAATTAAAGAAAGTTTCAGAGATAAAATGATTATGGCGGCTTTGGTAGAAGTGGTCTCCTGAATGTCTATAATAAATATGCAAAATCATCTCCTTCTGGAGAAAAACCCTTAGGGAAAATGATACTTGACTTATATTACAGCATGTCAAGCTTGCCAAAGATAGGTTTAACAAGGTAAACTGATCTAATACTGGATACAGGGATAGGTTGCCTCAGTCAGATTAGACGCCTTTCCTGTTCAAGAAACTTTCCAAATTATTCCATATGTGCGGATATGCAGATCTGTCTTCTTTACTTCCCCAGTAAAAGTGTATCATGGCCTTCTTTAGATCATTTTCCAGACCTCAAAGTCTTAGTGCTAATATTTATGAATGTCTAGATGTAGTCTTTAATAAACAATGAAAAGAGGAGGTTGATAATCAGTGGACAAAATTAAAAGCATGTTAGTGAATGACTCTTAATGTTTCCCTTGATATTAAAGTACTTATCTCTGAATTCTAAATATCTGGCAGTGAGAGGTTTTCAAGGCACTTCAGATTTTCCCTTGATACTGTCCCTTCAGGGTCTCTTCTTTGGATGCTATAATCTACTTCTGTCTAGATAGCATACCCAAGGGCCAATTTAAATAGCAGATAACTTTGGCCACTCTGTGCCTCTCTATAGTCTATCATAACTGAAATGTATGTGGTTTGTTTTGTTTAAAATAGGAGCATATTAAATACATTATGAATTATTATTAATTTAGATTAGATTAAATTAAATTAAATGGAATTTGGGTTTTGTCCTGGCCTTGCCCCACTTTTAGAAATGCAGCCTCTGTCTTATCATATATAGCAAGCAATGCTTTTTTTTTACTTTTATGGGGTGTTTCTCTTTCTTGGGTTCTTATAGCTACTACTAATCTTTATTAATTAACATATGGAAAAATAATGGATATTCCCTGGCAAACTGATTGGCTATGGTTTCCTGAGATATAACCATTGAACAGGCTTTATGTTTACTGCAAACGGTTTTCTAGCAAGCAACAATGAATCAGCCATATAAAATGTGCACCAGCCCTTTACTGGCTTTCTGCACAGCTGTCATGGGAATATGAATCATACTGAATTGTCTTTGTCTCATCCCAACTTATCAAGCTACTTGAGAATATTTCTCTTCCTTCTGATAGTCAACAGTAGCCATACTCTCTTAGTCTCAAAACTTTTCAGAACATATGACAGACCTAGCAGAGTTTGAAAAATAAATAATAAATAAATACAATAAACACAATAAATAAAACCTTTGAAAAAAGCAGCAGCACCCTAACAACTTTTTGTGTTTCCATTATCATTACATGGTTTTGAGGGGGCTTTTCACTGAAAGAAGTAATTGATTAGTTTACATTTTTCCAGGGATCTCTGAGAATTGGCTTTATTCTGGGAATGACTCAGAGTAAATTAATGAGAACTTGACAGTCTTTTCAGGGGTATGCTGGAAGTATGTGCTATAAGCACAAGACCAGGATTACAAAATTAATTGGGCATTAATATCATTTTCTTATCAAAAACTGATATTAAATGCATTGATTCCCATTTATTTTGTATGATTCATTTATCTTGAAGCCTATTTGTTTTGAATTAATTGAAGTTTCATTGGATTATTTGCATATGGTTGCTTTGTGCTTTCTATCTTTCTCAGTCCTGTTATGTCTTGTTTATTTCTAGCAGTCAAGAGTGGGGAACCTTTGGCTTTCTGGATGTTACTGTACTATAATTCCCAGGAGTCCAATTCAGTATAGCCAGAGGTGAGGGATGCTGGGAGTTGTTGTTCAGGAACAACTGGAGGGTCACATGTTCCCCTTCCCTGTGTGCAATTACCTTTGGTGAGAAAAGCATCACTTTTGGGTGCGGTAGAGCTGATTAAACGTAATGGCCGTAACTATGCTAAGTCTTCTAGCAGAAGCATTAGAACAAAATAGTATCTCTTGGCATTGGTATACTCTAAGGCCAAAGCAATCACTCCTGAAATGGGAAAAAAAGTACTGGCTGTTTATTTACCACAAACCTAAAGGGAGTGGCTGACATTCATATCTCTCTGATTAGAATGCTGTTAGGTCTTGTTATCAGAGACATACAGATGTGAGAGGCTGGATTTCATTTTCATTTCCTTAGCTGGCATATAAAGATTGCTTGAACTGTAGGTGGATTCAGATGTTTTGCATAGCTGGAGATCTTAGTCATCTAATTTTTGCACCATAGCTTTTACAACAAAATATTGTTGGCCTGCAAAGTTTCTGATCAAGCCAGATATTTTTTACAGTTGAAATCTACTTGCCATTATTTATTGCTCCTTTAATTACTGTAACTATGCTGATAAACAGATGTCTGCATTGAGCCAGGGGAACAGCATTAAAACAGTGAGACTGATGTTTGATATAAGCTCTATTTTTCCACCATGCTAGTAGGCACCAGTATAATCCGGGTCCTCCAGTGACACAAGATTGTGTCATCATGCCCTATTTTTTTGTGGGAGTGAAATCATGTGAATCAGCTTTCCGGGTGATAAGGTACTTGTAATTTCACCATAGATGCTTTGCAGAAGCTACTGCAATGGCTATTCCCATAGGCATCCTGGGGGGAGGGCAAGGGAGGCACATAACAAAATGTGCCATGATACTGATGGCAAGTATATAAGAGGTGGAGCATGCACTGCGATATTACAGCTCATGCTGGTCTATTTCATGCCATCGCAGTTTGTAGCAGATGCCACTGTGTACACCTTCAGTGGGCTATTTCAGGGCTATCCCTGATTCTATGAATTGGGTAAAATTATGATAGTTATCATTATGAAAGTATTAATAATACTTTCAACACTATTGAAAACCAACTATACTAATTATTAATCACCAGTAACCGCAATTTTATGTATGCAATCATGTAAATACAATACAATAAAATTTATAAAAATCCAAAATAATTCAATATAATATAAAAAATCAACTGCATAAAATACAGCTTTGAAAAAGCTAGAGCTAAAAGAACCAAACAATAGATACAAGCACTAAAACTAGTAAACTATCAAAAGGATTAAAATAACAATGATCTTAAAACCCACTAGTGGAGCCAATATATAAATAAATTCACTGTCAGAACGAAAACATGTTTGGAGTTTGGCAAGCTTCCCTGGAAAAGACATTCCATTGCCACTGAAAAGGCCTTCCTCAGACAGCCACTCTTCCGACTTCAAAATGAGTTTTGTTAAGAGTTTAGAACAGTGTTGTCCAAACTTGGCCACTTTAAGATGAGTGGACTTCAACTCCCAGA